CAGTCTCTCCCATCTCAGTCATTAAGGTTGTAACTTATTCAGAGGAGTCACGGTTGGTCTTGGTGGCCTCTCGCTCGTTTCTTTCTTCCATGGTTACCAAGTTTTTAAGGATAGCCTGGAGATTTTCCTTTTGTTTTTGAATTATGGATTTAACTGTGTCTCAAGGAATATTGAGTGACTTCCATCCTCTGTCTGATGCTTTTCCACATCCTTTTCATGGGGTTGCTGGGAGTGGATTTTTTTTCTCTTCATGGTGTAGTTATAGCTAGGAGTAATGATGCACCAGTGACTACCTTCCAGATACAAGTATCTTTATACTACAATCACTTGATTGTAACAACTGGCTGCACCTGTATTGAGTTAGGTGAGTTTCTTCAAAAAAGGGCGGATACTTATCATTTATTTTACATTTTACATTTATAATTACTTGACATTACTCTATAGAAATTTGTTTTCACTTTGACATGACATGACTTTGTAAAGCCTTGCCAAAAAAGCCAAATTAAGGTGACCATGATTCAGTGTTGAAAAGCAGTTAAACTTCTGAGGGGAGTGAAAACTTTTAGTAGTAAATAATTATCTATCCATTATTTATACACCGCTTAATCTTCTGTACGGTCACTGGGGTCTGGAGCCCAGGGTTTGTCCTGGACAGGTCACCAGTCTATCACAGAGCCACAGAGACACAAACAACCAAGCACACTCACATTTGCACCAACGGACAATTTAGAATCACAAGTTAATTTCTTTGGATTGTGGGAGGAAGTCGGAGCACCTGATGAGAACCAACCCAGTCACAGCGAGAACATGCAAACTCCACACAGAAAGACTCCAGGCTTGGAAGCAAACCAGGGATCTTCTAGCTGTGAGGTGACACCACCAACCACTGCACCGAAAATCACAATATATGAGGAAAGTGTGTGTGCAAACTATCCAAGACATCCTTAATAAGATTATTGTGTAAGCATTACTGTGTCATTTCATGCTAGGCCATGATGTTCAGGGCACATGATAGACTAAACAGATATTGCATAAGTTTCTGATGTAAATATGACACGCAGCTCCTGAACATGAAGACCTAGACGATTATGTTACACTGGTGTGCCTATGACGCACTTTGGACACGGTAAAGAGTTCTATTCAGGTTAATGCATTTTGGGACAATGTTAAGCTGTCCTTGAGACCAGCTTGATTTGTTTGCACTGTCTGTATGGTGTCCAATAAACCTACAAGTGGACTGAAGGCCACTGACTCAGTTCAGTCAACGAAGCAGTCGGAAAAACATTCCACCGCAATATACAAACAAATGCTTGAGCTGAAATGTGTCACAAACTTTGTGCTGCCTCACCTATTGACCGTGTGAGACCATGCCTCTCTCTTTGCTTGTCAAACATCATTTCACTGCGAGGTTGCTTCATCACATATTCCTCTGCTCTCTGCATGAGGCCAAAGGAGCTGCGCCGCCGCTCCCTCACCCCGTTCACTTCTGTCGTCACCTCACTCTCATCCACCAGTGGAGACATGCCTAAGAAGCGAGGTACCATTTCCAGGAACAGCTGCAAGAAGAGGCAGAAAAGATATAGTTCGCCAACAATAACATACCAGTCGAGAAATTTGACAGAATGGCACTTACATGCTTGACGGTGTGGGACATGGTGTGGGTGCTGGGGCTGCGCAACGAGAAGTTCAGCACCACAATTTGATTGGTAGCAATGAGAGTGGTGACAGACATCACAAAGATCAGGTACCTGAGGAAGACATAAGAGAAGATCTGCATTGGAGAGAAGGCTCAAACTGTTGGGATTGAAGAAAAACCAAACCAGCAGAGGTCAGCAGAGAACGCATACTGACTCACTTGCCGATGAGGGGGACAGAGAGAGAAGTCTCAGGGATCTTCTGAGCAATAAGAAAGAGGAAGACAGTCTGAGCCAGCAAGACGGAGATAGACACTGTCAGCTTCTGTCCTCCAGCTGTGAGGGGACAACAGAGATTCAGGAGACAGATGACCACACAAAATAATAACAATCGTAAAAAATTAGACCAGTTTTGGTATCAGGCATCTTATATATGAGGCAAATAATGCAATGTTAGGTACTTTAAAAATCTTTATAGTTGCATACAATAACATCTGTCGTCAGTGAGGGATTTAGCTAAAACCTTTTCCTTTTATCACTTAATTTTAGTATTGAATCTGGCTTTAGAACCTCCCCTAGTGAGTTTCAATGCTTATATAACAAAGTAAAATTTAAAAAAAGTCTATTTCTAAATTCTGGTCCTATTTTGTTAGTAGACCGTAACACTGTGACTCCATCCTTTATTGTGTTGTCACTTTTTATTAATATGATATGTCTTCTAGTCACTCTGCTTTATTGTGTTTCATGGTCTGCTATTTTAGTTGTGTAGCACTTCGGTTCAAAACTGGCTGTTTCAAATGTCCTTTATAAATCCATTTGAGGGTTTTTTTTTTTTTTATTGTATCAAAGCAAAATAGAATAAATTGTTATTAAGTTTTATGTCCTGGTAAAAAAACATCATGAGACATATTTGTATAATTGCCCTGCTTAAAACTGCACCTTATAAAAATAGCTAATGTAGAAACAATGTCCCTCCTGACCTTGTGCAGGTAAGAAGTAGGCCAGTACGACCAGCGAGGAGATGAGGGAGCAGGGCAGGATGACGTTGATGATGTAGAAGAGGGGCTTTCGTTGGATGATCAGGTTAAATGTGATCTCTTGATACTCCAGGTCATCTGGGGAATACTGGGTGTTGATCATCTTCCTGGCTGGCCGATGAACGATGGCCCACTCGCCATTCTCTAAAGGGTGAAAACGTAATAAGCAAGAGAGGATTTGTGTGTTCTGAATATTGGAGTGTTGACTTTATTAACGCCGCACCTGTGAAAGCCTCAGGGTCGATGTCCACCCACTCAATAGTTTCCCCCGTCTCACCAACAGCCAAGATAAGGTCCACTTCATTGGCACTGTATGTCTGGGATCTACGGTTATGGCGGTGGAGACGGAGTAGAACAGAAAAAAAAACGAATAAATGAGATGATCACAATTCAACAGTGTAAATTCAAGGTTCAAAACTATATCACTCTTTAATAACTGCATCATTTGTAAGTTGATAAGTAGAGTATAACCTCTTATGAACAATCAAAAACAAATACTTTACTGTATTGAAGAAACAAATCTACTAAAGAACATGAAAAGAGGCCTGATGAATGTTGGGAGTCCACTCTGTGGTCAGATGAAACCAAGACATATTTGCTTAGCTCCGTTGGGTCCAGCATTATTGGGGTGGTCAGGACTACCACAGTGAATGCACAGTCCTTTTAGTGAAGCACGGAAGTAGGAGTGCGATGATATGAGGCTGCATGAGTGCAAATGGGTCTCTTGAGATGACACTTAACGATGGCACAATGGATGTCTGTGGATATACTGGCCGACAAGATGGTTCCAAGACTGCAAAATCTTGGCCGAAGAGGAATGCTCCAACATGATAACAATCCAAAGCACGCTGCCAAAATCACATGAGTTTCTAAAGAATGCAAAGAGAGAACTATGATCTGGCCAAGTATGTGGCCTGACTTGAATCCAATACAACACCTCTGGAGCATTTTAAAGGGAACGGTCAAAAACAAAACCTCTCTGGCAACAAGCAGCTAAAAACAACATCTCCAAACAATGCAGAAATGTGTGGACACTGGTATCCTCCATGTTGAAGAGGATTGATTCTGTCATCAAAAATAAAGGTTAGGTTTTGAAAATAACTAAGATAGATACATAGTTGGCCTGTGTAAGATGGTTCAAGTAATGCAGTGATACAGTTTTAAAACACTTCACATTTAAGTGATATTGCACAGGGGGTTAGTCACATTTGTTGTATACTGTTCAAACCTGAAAGCTAGCGTGCAGTTTTGATAATCAAACGGGAAGTAGGTGATCTCAATGGCACATGTGCTGCGATAGATAGCAGGAGGCAGCCAGTACATCCAGCCGCTGCTGTCGATCAACACATTGGCGTAGTAAGCCACGTCAAATTTGCCATCAATGCTGCAGTGAAAGAGGATAAAGAACAAAAAGAGTTAGCACCTGACCTTATACACCATAGACAGGGGAAGAATACTGGATTTCATTTCTCTTTTTAGGGTCTTACTTGTTCTCAAGGACTATGTCAGGAAGCCAAACGGTGTTGTATGGGACACGGATGACGCTAATGCCGTAATACTCAGACGTGTTCCAGGAAAGGCGATAATCTGTCCATTGCTGCAGATGACATTTGAGAGGAGTGTCACCGGTGACTTTAAAAGCTGGACACAACTGAGGACTAACTACATGGGAAGGACTATGTCTTATATGCAAAATGAACCTTGTGCTAAAAGTCTTGCAAACACAACAAAATCACAATTGCAAAGAGTACAAAAACTCACAATCTCAATCCACACATTGGTCGTAAGAGTCTCCTCCTTTTCATTCTGTGGGATAACAAAGAAGTGGTATTTGAGTTGCAGTGATCGTGTACTGCTAAGTTAGTGATTATTGTGCTGAATTGTAGGAAAGAATGAGGATTCGTGCTATCGTCATGTGGTAGTGATGATGAACTTGTGGCCGTGCTCCTTAGAATGAATTGTTCCTTCTTTGTAAAACTGACATACACATTTGCAATGTGCAGTGAGGCTTTGTTTGAAAAAAATGGGAACATGGAGCTCTCACCAGGGAGATGAGGTTAGTCAGAGTCAGCTTGATCTGAACCTCCACTCTGTCTTCAGGATGAACCACCGGGCGAATATTCTTGTTGTAGCCTTTGAACAACTGGCTGATCAGCTGCGACTCCTCGTTGCATTGCACTGTGTGAAGAAAGAGATGATAAATGGAAGGAGAATATACGCATATGAGTGGAACTATGTCTGATTAATGTTACATGGGCACAAACGAGTTAGATTCTGCTTTAAGTGAAAGTTTGAGGTCAATTCATTAAAACTGACCTATTTCAACATTATATTGTAATTGTTTTCTAACCTACACAACAAAACCTTTGTTCTCAGACCAGCACGCCAAGGGGTTTTTGTTGCTACAGCCTTTGGGTTGCTATATTATGAAACCTGTAGGGGTTAATGTTGCTATGACAACAGCAAATGCTTAACAGATATTTCTGTGCAGCTGTTTGGTGACTTTTCTATTTGCATTACAATTACATTATGGCTGCTTTGAATCAGTTAATTTGCATATGTGCAAACTCTCAAGTCATATTAATCCTGACAAATTGTGATCATACATATTACACTTACAATCCTGTCCACAGTTTATTGAACAGTTTCTTTTGACGGATACATGCTAACAATGAGTGAAAAAATGTGCTGTAGGGGCAAAGGGGCTCCTTTCATTTGTACACAAAAGCACATGGGCTGCATGTTTAAACAAGGACACCACGTGCTTCCCCTCAGATAAAATATAACAACCCAACGCCCCAAATACCCCTGACCTGACATCTGGGATCAACTCAAAATTTGGTTAAGTTTACATGTTTTTTCTCATAAAAACTCAGGATGGACAAGTATAATTAAATGGAGCAACTTTAACTGATATTGTCCAAAAGGCTTCAGGACTATTTTTACTTTCAGATAATCTCAGTCAGAACAGTGGGTTGCTTTCAATCTTGAAATATATTTTGCGTTTTCTGCACATACATGTGTTTTTGATCAAATGTTGTAGCAGAACTTGGATGAGAGCTGTTGGTGTGCTGCTCAATTAAAGGCTTAATTCTAAATGTTGTTTGAGTTGGCTTCTCCAAACCAAGACACTCCCTATCGATGTAATTGACTTTATTATATTGAAGTGTCATTGCCAGACTTTTAAAAAGATGCCCATGTGGTGCTGCTTATGCTTTCCTCACAGCACAATACATCTCTGAGCAGCTTTTGAAGTAAATATCATTTACATGTTTTCATGCGTGGGTGCACATGTGTTGGGGTAAAAAAAAAGAAGAAAAAAAAAAGAAAAGAAGTGCAGGACAGAGAAATGAGCCAATACATGAAGATTTGTCATAACATAGAGACTAATACCAAGTCTCAGAGCTGTACTAAAGCCCAGTAGTGTACTTCATGGCGACGCTACATTTCTGATCAAAGTTCAAGAGAGACTAAGAGAGGGAAAGGCAGAGGTTATTTCCGACCCCTTGTCTCTTCCCTCCCAGCTGTCACTATCCACATCTCCGATTACACCGCAGCCGGTTAAGTCTAAACCAGCACTTCAAGTCACACTCAGGTCGTTTGCAATAATCATCAATATCGTCATTAGGCAAAAATGGTGACAGAGCCACATACTACGAAGCAGTAAAGATGTCGTCCCCGCTGAACAATTCTTTCCTGGGTCTGTCTGGTCCAACCAGACACAAATACATCACATAGTTTTGAGCTGTATTTCACCCATGGGACAATTTGCATAGCCGGCAGTGTAATGACAGCGGTGACATGTCTCACTCCCGAAGGCTTTGTCAAGTTTAAATTATTAAATATTGTTAAATATTACACTGGATATCGTGCCTTTGAATTTGCGAACAATTTCCCTTCAGTTTGATCATGGAGAAAAGACAAACACAGCTGTTCTTTTTAGAAAGAAAAAAATCACTGTACGGCTTTAATATTTAATAGTTTGTTTATGTGTGGGAAACATCAGCGATAAATATATGCCATCCTCATGACAGTGTACTTTCAGAATCTGTTTTTGGGATTCTTGCAATACCTAATATTACTTAATTAATTATTGATGAATGTTTAGAGAAATTAAATATTGAACATGCAGTAAACAGTGACTAGAGCCACTCTTACTAGCAGCCTCACAGAGATAAACAAGCCCTGTGAGCTGAACTTTATGCATCTAAATACAGTTCAATCAGTCAACTTATGAGGATCAGTTACATTAATATGTGCACGCAAAGTGCAGTTAATATTTGGTGTCAGTGTTTTGACCTCATCACTTCCTGCAGCTGACATTTAAGCCTTCTCAAAGACCAGCGGAGAGTGACGATGAGAAGCCGGAGCCTGCAGAGGACCATTGAAGGGACGTGAGGCCAAGCAAAGCGGTCAGATGTTGTGGATTTCTCAAAACTTTGGCAGGTTGACTCCAGATAACAAGCTACTGCTGACCACAAGTGAGAGAATGTGTTTACTTTTTGTTGAACTGACCCTTTAGGGTGACAAAAAAGCAGGAGGCATACAGGTCACAAAATCATACAAGTAAACATTACAACATCCCTGTTTGACCGAGGTAAGTGCAAGCCAAGCTCACCCTGGTTGACCGTGTCCCGCTGCCATGTGCATACATCCTGATGGGGTCATTTTAAACGTGAGCAGCAACAGAATTTTAACATGATCTAGCAAAAGGAAGAGGCGAAAGTGTCTCGTCCATCTCCCAATAAGCATCAACTCCAAGAGGAGTTGAGCCCTGCAGCTCAGCCTCAGTATCAGTCGGGTGCTTTTCAGTCCAGTACATCATGTTCTGATAACAAAAACTTGACAAAGGCCGAAGGAGGAGCACACTTTATTCCCTAAAGTCAAAGTTGGATTGAGCTTCACTTAATACTGAATCTGCACATTTAGCTGTTGTTCAAAATGCATACTGACCCAATTTGTAACAATAATAATGTCAACTTGATCATAAAGTTCCTTCAGCCCCGAAATGCTTGTATAGTTCCACCTGGATGTACGTCCTCGGTCTTCTCGCATCAAAGTTTGCTTTCCTGGAGTACGTATATCAACTCCTGTCCATGCCAGCACCTTGTCACAGAGGAATTTTTTTAACTGCAGCAGTGACCTCTGCCAAGGAGATGGACTCAAGAAGGATTTACCCCCAACTGTTGAAAACAACTCATCATAGCTTTCCATGCTGAGCTTGTAAGTGTATTTAAATGATGATTTGAGCATCCCCAAATCATATGTGTTGTCTAGATTCACTGTAGTTACCCTCTTGTGGAAGAATCCAGTCTGTGGCAACCAGACCAGCTTCATCCACATCACTGCTGTTGCTCTCATGACAAAGCACAAAGGACCTCCTGCTTTCCTGATGCTAGCGGACTATCTGTGTGCTCATCTGATTGCAATGGTTATGAAACAGATGATCCATGTTAATATGTGTTTATTTGGAAAAGTGCACTTATTGTATATGAGTAGAGGCAAAACTCCAAAATGTTTTGTCTGTTGTTAGCCTTGTATGTCAAATTTCTAAAAGTCGTACAAGTCGAAGATCCAAATCAGACAACAATTCTAGAATACCTATTAATGAATATAACTGAAATTCATTTTAGAGTAGTTGTAGAAAAATACTTCCTTCCAAAATCTGCTAAATCATCTACATAAACTTGATTGCTTACAACAGTGAGAGTAAGTGTGTTTGTACAAGTTTTTACCACATTTTCATGAGATCTAATTAAAGTTTTCTACACCCTGCTAGTCAGTTGGTCTCTGAACACTGATCTCCTGCCTGCACACGACAGTCTGAAGGCATTACAGATATTATTCTGCCACACAAGAAGGCAGCCTGCCAGTCGGCGAGGATGTGCCAAAAGTTTGCAACTGCGCCACTTACCCGGACCCATTAAAGTCCAGAGAATAGTTACGACTCCAAAAATTATCCAAAAACTGCGTGCTGCCATCATGTTCCAACACCCCTCCGCCGCTCTGCTCTGCACTATATTTAAATATAAAGTTTGAGAGAGGGAGAGAGAGACAGAGAGCGAGAGTAAAGACAGAGAGGAAGAGCCCCAAATCTCCCCCTACCAAACACCCTGACTGTCGCCCACTCCGGCTGTCGCTGTCCGTGGCTCAGATTACACAGCAGCTGGAGGCACTAAACCAGGACTTCAAGTCACACTCTGGTCAGCCACAATAATCATCATCATGATCATTAGACAACAACCACAACATTAGACAGCGACTGTGATTATGTATCTGTCAAACTAGAGATATTTAGAATGAAGGTAATAGTGAATCCCAAGCTGTTTGATTATCATGTGATCCATAACCAGCATCCTTATAATGTAGAATTGTCAAGGCGATACCGACTTGTCTTATCTGTCCGGCATTTGTCTTTAACTTGTGTTTGTCAAACAAGAGTTAAAAGGAGACAGCTAAACCCCATTGGTGCAAGCAAGATGAACAGGTGATGGGCTCTGCAGACCTGCTCTCTCTCTGCTATGTGTCCAGGGTATTAATACATACAGCAGACACTTACTACTTCAGCTGCAGGACCTGGGTGGTGAGACAGTGTCGGCAGACTACCGAGGTTAGAGGGCTGGAGGCAGACAATGGTCATAAAAGTCATAAAACCGTGGAGACAGAGGCTCGAAACTGCATCGAGATAAGTCAACTCATTTTTTTTTTGATTTCCACAGCTCATACCACAGAGACAACAAGTTTTATTAATTTCCTTTGAATGTCGACGCGAACGTTGCATTTTTAATTAAGGCTGTGGATAATATAAGTGGTGTCTTTCTGCTGCGACAAGGACAGCAGGCTGATTTTTGGAATGTGCCATGTGAGTTGCGCAGTATGTGATGTACGTCTAAATATACAGTTAGGGAAACAGAGATGAGCTTCTTTCAGGTAACTGGAGCCTCCAGAAGGCAGATTAAGTGTCTCACACTCAGAGACAGAAGAAGGGCCGGAGCTGTCCAGCTTCAAATCCAAGGCCATCTTGTCCACTCACAGAGCAGAGCAGCAGAATATACACTGGACAGGTTCATGACAAAACAACAACCGGGGCAAGTATTTTCTGCACATTTTACGATGAGGAACCTCTGCAGTATGTTTAGTTTAGGCTACTGTTTCCCCACTGCAACCAACCAGGGCAGAGTCCAGCGTTTGCTCATTTTTCTACCTTCTTCTTTACAGCTAAATCCAGTAGTTTTCTCTCAACACCTGATTAGATTCTTTAAAATAACTGACATGGAGACCAGTCGGCACAAAATGCCAGACGGGCCTGTGTAACCGTTTTTATAACTGGTGTTATAAATATAGCTGCATCCAGTGAAGCAGGAGTTTCAAACCGTTGTAGAGTTTATGTGGTTGGACCAACGGCTGAATCTGATTATGCAGCGACAACATATTTTAAATAGGCAGTGTGTTGAGTTGGAGTCATAACAGTTAAAGTCATAGCAGTAAATATCTTAAATTGTTTCTTTTATACAGTGCCAATTCACAGCATGAGTCATTGCAGGGCACTTTGCAAATCCAATGACTCCCTTTGAGCAAACACTTGGTGACAGTGGGAAGGGAAAAAATCCTTTTAATGGGAAGAGACAGTGCACCTCTGACAGAATCAGAGTCAGGGAAGACAGCTGTCTGCTTCGACCGGTTGGGGTGAGGACAAAGGGGAGGGGGAAAGGGATGGCAGACAGAAACAGACAGACGACAAGCAAAAGAGCACAAACACTGGAGAGGTCGGTGAGGTCATCAACCTCAGATCTGGAACGTGCAGCCAGAGATACCTGCAGAGAGAGAGAGGACACAAAGTTAGTAACATGGCATATGAATGTGTAGAGCAAGAAGGAGAGGAGAGCAGAGGAGAGGTGTGAAGTGCATCATGGGAGTCCCCCAGCGGTTTAGGCCCGTAGCAGCATAACTAAAGAGAGTTTCATGTTCACCTGAGGCAGCCCTGACTATAAGCTGTATTAAAAAGGAAGGTATTAAGTCTGATTTTAAAAGCAGAGAAGGCATCTGCCTTCTGAACGCAAACTAATTCAATTTAAAGTGCTGGTGCCGGTTTTCAGGTGAAGGTATGAACAGTCACCTCAGTTAGGAAACTTCCATTCAGATCCTTTGTAGTGACTTTGCATTCTCCTTAAACTGAGTTTGGGACTGTCGCACCAGGGGCTCAGAAGTTCTACTGAATGTTTCCGGGTCAATTAGTGGCTGGATCTTTATCAAAAAGGTGCATTTACGAGCTGGTTGAGGAGAAGAGGTTGATAGCCAAAGCTGTGCCCGGAAACTCTGGGAACCACAAGTAAGCCTGCAGTCTGAGAGCAAAGTTCTAGGCTAATAGTCGACTATGAGGTCTCTTAAGATCACATGGAGCTTGGTCATTAAGGGCTTTGTATGTGAGGCAAAGGGCTATAATGTCCGTTCTTTATCTTACAAGGAGTCCTTTCTCAACATCCCTTTCACTCTCACAGATCAAACATTTGCTAAAGGGATCAAATGAAACTTGTAATGCGTCTTATGTTCAGCCCACAAGTCATTAGGGGTCAAACCCACAAGAATCAATAACCATCACGGATCATTTTTTATATTTATTTGCTTTATAATGTCTGCAATGTTGTCATTACATTCTATCATGCAGCTCTGGAGACATCTGTTCTGTTTAACTTTGAACTTTATACTCTTGTTGGAGCCTGGGACAATTTTAACAAACGGCCAAACTTCCATGAGTAATCCTGGAGCTGCGGTTAAATGTTTTGACTCTCCACATGTGGTGCTGAGTCCAGTAATTCTGCACAGCAACTTCACTGGAAAATCCACGTGGTGGTATTTGACAGTGACAAAAATACCTTTTTTTTCCTACCGAGCCTCCATGCTTAAACACACTCGCACAGTGTGAATTCATTCCATGTGTTTCAGCCTAACGGCGCTTTATGTTCATGTTGAGAAATACCAGCAGACTCATTTTTGCCTGAGACAAACATAAAACTCTGTCAACTGTATCTGTTTCAAACTGTATGTTATTGTTTAATTAGAGAGTCCCGGCTGTGTGAAGTCAAACAGTTCATGTTTTCTGAATGGGTCACACGTTTTCCCAGAGATTCAGCCTCCCCTCGCCTATTTCAGATGGGATCATCCATTGGTTGCACAGAATAAAAGCCCCATGACCAGCCCCCTCCCAGCCAAGCAATGAATGCCCCTGCTTTCACTTTTTTTTTTTCCCGCTCCTCTACAGAAAAATACCATTGTTAAGTCCCTCTTCATGAGCTCACATGTGGTTGGACTCGAGTGTGGAGTTCAATGTCTGTTCACCTCCCCCCACAGCAGCAGCAGCAGCAGCAGTGGACCCACTGATAGCGACCAATCACTGGGTTTTCCATGATTATCACTATCAGAGGTGATAATCATGAGAACTTTATGAGCCACATCGGTCCTCCTGTTTTACTGACCAGCGTCAGACTTTAGACTGCAATTATCAAATGAAACACTGAAAAATGTGCATTTAGAATGTCAAAATACCACTATTTGAGCAATGAGAATCAGTCTTTGTGAGAGACAAAAAGAGAAATTCCCATTTTTTCAAAGTCATGTTTTTCAGAACTGTGAGAATCTTTGTCATATCTAGAATTAGATTATCATGAATGAACGTCTTTGTTCTTTTTGCCATCTCAGCTGGGATAAGTCCAGTTAGACTGTTATTCATTGACAAAATATGGATTTGATATCACATCCTCCCTCTGCTCAGCCATAAAAAGGAGATTTTGTTTTGTTTTACAAAGGAATCAGTACAGAGGTTTACTGTGGGCTGTCATGACTTAGCACAGAAATTAATTATTCATGTTAAGCTCTCATAAACCAACATGTTTATAGAAATGTGTGTCAGCACTGTTGTAATATGTGGTTGCGGTGGTGCTCCTAATGGTCTGTGTGAATGAGTTAGAGAGAGAGAGAGGGAGGGAGGGGAAGGCTGAGGGAGGAGGGAGGAGGAGGAAGAAGGGTGGTGGTGGTGGGAGGAGGAGAGGCCAGGGAGCAAGTGTTTACTCGGGCTGACCAGGAATATCGTGCATATATAGAAGATGAATCTTGGAGGAAGGAGGTTACCGGCGGGCAAGCGAGCAGGCTCTGCTTTATCACCTCGTGGCTGCACTCAGCTGATCTCTGGACTCTCAGATTGAGCAAGAACAGCCAGAGACAGGCAGCTCCAAAATCAGTCAGCAACAAAGGCAGGGCAGGAGGAAGAATCCAAGAAAGTCAAAGAATAGGAAAAAAAAAGAAGAAAAAAAAGAGCAGGCCAGAGAGTGTGACGAGGGAGCGGCAACGGCTTAAACCTACAAAACAACAGAGTTAAACATTGATAGAGCCTCTTTGAGGTATAATGGTGGACAAGAGTTTTTATCTGAGGTTTTGGGGAGGAGTATGAAGGATTTGAGAGGACGGGGGGAGTCAGAGGCAGGGGTCTGGTGGAAAGTAATTGTGGTGACAGCCAGTGCAAAGGGACCAGCACTCATGTGAGACACAGAGGAATTAAAAGATAGAAAGAAAGAGAGAAGGACCAGAAGAGGACCAGCGGACCCCAAACTGGACTTCAGCATGGGGGTAAAGAGCAAGGCTGCAGCAGCTATCGTAGTCCTGCTGCTGTTCCTCGGTTTGCTGTGGCAATGTGAGTATTCCTGTGTGTGTATGTGTGTGTGTGTTTCCCTGAGGTGTGTGTGGGTCTCTGTGTTGTACCATTAATCTATACAATCCCTCCCTTGTTTGGAATTCATTTGCTCCAGATCAGGAATGTGTCACATGGTGAGTTGGTTGCAGAGGCAAGCATGGTGGTCTCACTGCTTTCTGCTTTTTCTTTATCCCCAGAAGTAATATTAAGATCACATAAATAATATTTTGTGGGATCTGACATATTATTGGACTGTCAGATGATGCAATGACTCATGTTTTTTAGGGTCAGTCCTATCAGACAAGTTATCAGCTCGATATCAGTTATTGTTCAAGTGCACGCTTTTTTAAATCTTCTTGTCATCAGGAATGCTTGAGGTGTAATGATATCAGAAGGGCTACTAAACATAACTTTATGAGTTTAAAAAAGAAAAAAGAAGATCTTCACTATGAAAATAAATATCTAAAATGGCTCTGTTGCCTTTAGAAATCCTAAAGTCGACTAGAAATGTTATAAATGTTTCCTAATGCGAAAAACAATGTTTCAAAGTGAGCATTCCAGAAATGCTCAAACTGCAACCATGTGATCTGTTTCTCTACTTTGGATTAAATTCAAAGTGCTGCTGCAGCAGATTGAAGAGTGAACAGCCACCTCTGCGTTCTCATAGTAACTCTGTTAGGAAACTTAAATTTAGATTTGGCTCTTAGTCTGTAGTGACTTCACATCCTTCTTGACATTTTTGGCACCACCTACAGTAGGTCACTGACAAGTTAGAAATACATTCCTGACAGCTGTGTTTAATTTGAACTGAGGGAGTTCGCTTGTTCACCAGCTGCACTATCTCACCAGATGCTCAGAAGTTCAGCTGAATGCTTCCTGGCTGATCTTCTGGGATGTTTCTGCGGATGATTCAGTGACTTACACAGATGTTACTGATATCGCTGCCAGTGTTTGTGGCTTTTGTTTGTGAGGTGGCCAGATACAGTTGTCCCTTAATGGGAGGACTGGAGACCCACGGTGACCTCCAAGGGAATGCCCAGAGGTCCCAAATAAAACTGAACCATAGTTTGACTTCCCTCAGGCTTACCACAGCTGAGCTGGCTTCTTATTTGGTGACTATTCAAAGGCATGCTGAGAAATAGAGGAACCCACAAATTCACAAATTAAAGGCCGTGATTCAAATTTGAATGTATTCAGTCCAGCTGTGGAGGCAGGCTTTGATTTGTCAGTTACTTTCATAACTGCAGCATATGCAGCTAATATAATATAATAAAAATGTTCTCTGTATGGATCTTGTGACTCTATATTGAGGCATGTACATTTGCTAGCGTCGCAATCGACTTTAATTGACATCGTCAGTGTATGTCATGTGGAACTCAATTAAGATGACAGGGTTTGCTTTGTCTCAGCTCTGGAATAAGCATGAAATGGATTAAAACTCTATATTACATTTGATCTAAATAGTATGTAGAATGCTTGCTTTTATGTACTTTACAGTATGTACTAAAACCTCAGTGGAAATTAGCACACAGAGAGACGGCCTCATCATAATCAGTCTCATGTTAGATGACAGCGTTGGATAATTATGAAAAAGGATGCTCTCATGTGATTTTCAAGTGACTATAACGAATATAATATAACAAAGCAACAGTGTGAAAAGAGCATGAATCTACAGAGCATTATCACATGAAATTTCCGTTTTCCTCGGTTGTACAGAGCTTTAAAGTCAGCTTCAGCCAATTGTTCTGCTGTTCTGACCACAACCATCCCATTATACTTGATGCTTTCTGCGCTTATAAAGTTGATCTCAAAGAAAAGATGGAGAAATAAAAAAACACTTTACACTGATTTCTCAGCACCAAACATCACATAAACACAGCTGGTGAACATAGTGGTGCATTTAGTAGACATTTCCCTCAGGAGCCCGTAGAGGCCTAAAACAGAGCAAACAGAGTGTGTACATTAGACTTACATTTGCCGTGCTGTGAGAAACGCAGCTCCAATGAAATAATAATAATATTGCTCTGTAATCTGCACTACAACTGACTGCAGGACTTTCTCTTGTCCTCTCACTGCAGATGGAAGTTTGGATTACCACTGGGATTCTTGCTTAAAAGGTTATAATCAGGTGAATAAGGTAAGAGGACGAGCAAATTATGAGGCGATAATGACATTACTTGCACATTACATGGATGACGCCAGGAAGCAGATGGGCGATTTGAATGAATCTCATCCACATTCTTCCTGCCTTTGTCCCTTGTTGATTGCCCCCTCACATTCACACACCTCCCATCCCCCCACCAACAGCTCCACCAGCTGTCCAACAGCAGCGGGGCTGATGCGGCTTGGGGCCCCCACGTCCTGGAGGCATGCCCCGGTCAAACCTTCCAGGTGTCGCTGCTGCTCTCCCACCTGCTGGCTGCACCGGCCTACACCTCCGATGTGCTGCTGCAGCCCTATCTGTCCAGCTGGGATGAGCTTATAAAGTAAGATAAAGCAGTGAGTAAGATAGATTCATTTACAGCCACCAGAGAGGTTGAAGTCATTTATGGCTCAGAATCTGGACTCTGTAAGATGATTCATCCTGTTCCGTGTTACTCCCCCAGGTTCATGGAATCTCTCGGACCAATGGTGGGACTGATATCTAAGGAGATAGAGAGTAAGACCTCTGTGATCCGCCAACTGGCTCTGCTGTCGGAGGAGAACCCTGAAGCAGAGCTAAGTCCAGACATACACTCAATAAACTCTGGGAACACAGAGGTTGGGACAAAGAATGATGTAGAGGCCTTAGGGCACGCCAGTGCTTACCACTCTCTGCGCTCCATGATCAAGACGGAGCTCAACCAAGGCGTGGTGGACTTCAACCACCAGACGGACTCTGGATGCCGGACTATCCTGCGGCTGCATCGAGCTCTGCTTTGGCTGAAGCTCTTCCTGGAGAAGCTGGCTGAGACGCCGGTGGCCGGTCGGCTCAGGAGCCCCTCAGACTTGTGTCGCGAGGCTTACCAGAACACCCTGGCCAACTACCACACCTGGTTTGTCCGCAGGGCTGCCGAGCTGGCCTTCATAGCCCTGCCAGAGCGGGGTTTCTTCTTCAGGTTGGTGTGCGTGCAGAGCCAGGAGGAGCTGAGCATGGTGCTGACCAAAGTGGCTCAGGCTATTGAGGTGGTTTATAACAGGACACAGAAAGCCCTGGAGGAAAACGGCATGCTGGACTTGCCATAAGAAAGACGACTATCAGACTGGACATCCAGCCTCTACTGCTGCTTCACCATGTTTTGCACTGTCCTCATGCTATCCTTGGCATCACACATTCAAAAACCAAGTTTTTTTTTACAAACGAGGTGTAAACTTCTCAAGGAAGCATGAATGGACTTAATTTTTTTTTATTAGCCAAAACCTACATGTGCCATACTGTCCCTGCCGACCAAAGTGCTGTTTTCAACAAGCAACTGACACAAAAGTCAGTGTCAGCCTGACATTCCTTATCAGACTTTATAAGATAATGTCTTGAATGTCTTGACTTCTGCTCATCTAAGAGGCAGCTGATAATGTATTAAGACTGTGAATTATTTAAGCATGTGGGCACAGTAACACGAATACAATCACCCGTGCTGCAGCGCGTATCCCAGGGGAAATCATTTTGTAGTGCATCACAACATACGGTATCATGTTGTTGTGCCTGCACCCACCCGTGCGTAATTGCTATATTTCTTTTTTCTATACTGAAACTAACTGCTGTTCTAAGTGTAGCTAATGCTTGGTGATTTAGTATGCTACCTCATTACTGGCTAGGTTTAAATGCCTTGTAGCCCTAAAATCTCCATGGGACCAATCTATCCTAATTAAAGAGGTATTACACACAAAAAAATCAATATGTGCTGAACAAAGGACAATATCGTGTTTCACAGTCAGTGTTGTGTCGAACATCGTTTCATCAGTTTTACACACATTGGAAGTTTTTGTATCATGTTCAGAATGATTAAATACTTGTTAAAAAAAAAAAAAAGAAAAGCTATAGAATCCAGTTGCATATTTGTGTAACATAATGTGGTCCAGTAATGTGATAACTTTGACATTTACGCACCACTGAAGTGTTGTGTAATGCTATCCACCAACCAGCAGAGGTTCCAGAGCACTGCTGCAGAACAATCTTTACTTTGTTGTCATCAATCTGCTTCATGTGAAACACTTTCCACTTTGTAGAAAAGACCCAGTTGCATCCGGAACAGCCTTTTCTTTTTAACCTTAATGCAAAGTTTCTTCCTCTCTTTGGCTGTATGAATATAAATAGTGTTACAGTTTAAATGTGCTGCAGAACATGCAGGGTTCTAATGTGCAGTACATGTGTGTGACGGAGGGAACAGCGCGTGCAGGTTTCAGTCACCGGTGCTGCTCTTGATCAAACTATTTTAAACCCACAAATACCCCTAATGCTACGTAATCCTGGCTCTCTCCTCTCTCCTACACCACTCTCCCTCTTTCTGAGGTAGGAGACGGTGAAGAATAGCGAGATAAGGATAGAGCCTGAAGCCCTGGAGTGTAGAGGAGACAGGAGAAGGTCAGCGAGCGGAAGCACACTTCACCTTTAATCTTGTCAAGCAGTCAGTCGGTGGCAGACTATATTAAAGCAACACCAAGATAACAAAACAAAACAAAATCTAAACAGAATTCACGTAGGATTTTTGACACTGAGCCAAACTGTATTTATGATGGCCAACTGCTATCTGTTACATAATCCAGCCGATTAGTGAACTCTGACCCGTGTTGTGTGGACGTGAATGACGTGGTTGCATTTCCACAACATGCAGGATTCAACGCAGATTTTTCTACTATTTCCTTTCACGTGTAATTATAATTTCACATTAAGACTATTTGGGATTTTTGTTGCCATGTGCTCAGACTGGTGTCCACTATAAACTCTGTGCCCCTGACTGTAGGCTGTGAGGATTATGGGGAATGAGATTACATTAGATTACATCCACTTGACGCTACCTTTGACGCCGGCTGGCTTCTTATTCTGTCACTCGCAAAGGGCGTCCTATATTTAACTTCATTCTGACTCATAATGAACCGCAATAAAAAGAGATTTACGCTATGCGTGAGTAACACAGTAATTGTATGATAACACGTTTATGACAGCATGACAGCGCAAAGATGACTAAGAAGCACACGTAAAGTGAAGTTTAAGTTCCCTTAAATGACATTTATTCATTTCTCTATCTTGGTTTGCAGTAAACATGAGCAAAAATATACATACAGTAAGAGCAAAAAATAAGAATCCAGAATATTTTTTATCATCCGTTTGGGCGACAGTCTCTTCACGAATTTCTTTCCTGAACAAATCCTTTCACCACAGTCGTAAGCGATAGTACAGTTTAACATTGAGAGGATAGGTGGAGGGTAATGAGGTTGGTCGTAATTCTTTCTCCATTTGAAACATGAATAAGTTGAGTCTCTCCAACGTTTGTGCCTCTTGGCGGGTTTGTTTCGCTAATTTTCTGAGGGTTCCGTTACAACTTTGATTGCAAGCTTTAGAAGCTGACTTTAAGCAAATAGAGGAGACCAAAATGAAGACAAAAACATTAAAACAAATAAACAAAAAAAAAACTCCTCCAACCAACCAAGCTGTTGACATTTCAATTAAAATTATGAAAACCCATCAGGCAGCTCCCATGACGTGATACAATCCAAGCTAGTACATTCTCTCCTCTTTACAACAAAATACTCTATTATAAACAAAGCCATTCTCTTTATACTGTCCCATCATCCTCATAACACACACTGGCAAAATTGTCTGAATGCAATATCTATAAGTTCTTTCCTTTTTTTTTCTTGCTCTTCGTTACACATGTTGGTTTTGTTACAGCCTTTCCGATAAATAATCATACAGCCACACGAGGAAATAAATATATTGCTTTTTGAGGACATCTCCAAATTATCACAGGAAAAAAAACAAAGGACTGATAAATGGAGATAAGAGGAACGAACATTCTGTGACACTGGGGGAACAACACCGTCTGTCCACCAGGAGGCACTGTTTTGTTGCAGTGAGACATGTTCCTTTTGTGCGTATTATTATTATATAAGAGGAGGCCTTCTAAGAGCGCAGGGCCCTCAGCCCTCCAGCTGGATCCTACAGTATCTCTGTATGAGATCCTGACTCAGATCTTGCAGCCAGTGCAGCGCGAATAAATACAATTTCAACTGTCATGAAGATCTTTGGTTGAAGAAGTAATCTTCACATGCACATGAGTAAAACACAAATGTCCAATTAAGCGATAGAGTGAAGCATTTTATCACCTGGGTGCTGAATTTGATCATGAAAAATAGGGTTGAATGCACTGAAAAGCAAAAAAAAAAAAAAACAGTTTCTCTGAGGTTTCGTAGACGTCAAACCGAGCGTTTGACACAAGGAGGAGGGGCAACAAAGTAGGGTAAAGAAGTTCAGCGTGCCTACTGTGGATTAGCTGACCAGATTAAGAGATTACAGTGAAATTAAGTAAGTGTTGCGGGAATGCCAGAGGAGAAATGCATGTGAAGTGGTCAGTGGATTCACAAAAAAGGAAAAAAATAATGTCTCAGATGACTGTTTGAGCACGTCCTTCATTACAGTTCAGATAATCACATTATATCTAATTCTCTGTCTTTCATTCTCCACAAAGTCAGATAATGAAGTCTTGTTTAGACCGCTGCAAGATATATGCGAGCATGCTGGGAAATGCGATGCTCTGAGAGAAAATGAAGTTGTGAAGTGGAGCCAGGCCCTAATGTGAGCAGAACAGATGCTCGTGTTGCTGCGCTGACGTGGCAGGATCACAGTCAAACCGGTACAGTTTGGTAGCTGTGCCAAGGTCGTGCGCCTGAGTTCGAATGAGTGACTCCACAGATTTCTCCAGCCAAGCATTTGCAGGTGGTTTCTGACTGATTTCGTGAGCCCGTAGCGACTGCATTTTAAGCAAACAGCACAAAACTGTATGAGAGGTCGAAACTGGTTGTCCACTTATCATGATGGCTTTTCCTTCAGACCGATTCATCAAACAAGTGGAGAACACCACAACAACAACTTAACGAACAAAAAAAAATTCCTATGAGGTCAGTGAAGTAAATCTCCAGTTTTTTTCCCACATTTTCCTAAAGGTCTAAACTGCAAATCAACACTCCGATGCACTAACTAAATCTCTGGTAACATTTAAAAGAGGATATAAACTATACATTTTTTGATATCCTGGATGATAGTGAGTATGATTGAAACAAAAGGGAACAAAACAAACTCTCTACAACCTCCTCCTTCAAAACTGTAAATACAGTGAATTCACAAAAAGAGAAAGAAAAATAAAAGCACACCTGCAGTGCAAAACAGTTAAAAAATATGGCATCTATTTCGGATACAAATGAAATAGATGCAATACACTCAAGAAAAAAAACAAAACAACTCTAAATATTCATGTTAAATGAATTGAGAACTGAGATACAAGAAAACTGCTTTGGGTTCAATTTGAGGAATAAAATGACAAATGCCATTGTGCAGAAAAGGGATCATTGCTGCTGCTTTCATATGATATTCAGACGGTTGATTGGAACTGTAACGGGTATTATAATCATTCCCAGCAGCCTAAATATGCGTCACACCTGCCTTGTCAGCTACTCTGGGGTCAAACAACCGGCGTGAATATCAAATGATCCAAAAAAGAATGATTATTTAATAGACGTCATCTGATGAATGGACACAAGCATCCATAATGTATGCCACTTAATGAATATTGCACATTGCATGCAACTTCCCGACCTACAGTATGAAACGGAGGGGGGGGCTCGGAAATGGAACACACACACATACGCACAAAAAAAACCACACACTCTCCTGTACTCCCTCCTCACTCCTTTTTTTTTTCTTTTCCTTTCTTTTGGAGATGCTTCTCTTACTGTATCCTGTTTTGTGGAGGAACGCGCACTTGCGCTGCGTGAGGTTTTAAAGACTACAGTGCGGTCCCTCCTGGTGGTCAGCTGTTTAACATGTTTTCGAACTCGGCAGAGAGGCGGGACCTCCTGCCCTCGTAGCACACTAAAGACAATACACACATGCAAATGGCTTCATCTCTGCATCCATCCATCAAATATGCAAGTTTGTTGGATTATTCTTTTAAGTGCAACAAAATAGACGTACTGATATAAGGTTATGATACCGTATAAATACTGTAGATATACACATTTTTGTATTGTAACTTGTGTATATTCATATCATAGAGGGATCCTCTATAAGGAGGCAGCAGGAGGGGGGGTGGGGTGGGGGGGAGCAGCAATACAGTGATAATGTTGCTGATCCTTGCAAACTTTTTGAAAACACATGTTCACATCCTTTATATCCCCTAGTTGGTCATGCAGTATAAATAGACGTCACCTCAAACTAATTTACAGAAAATAATTTGTCTTGATGCTCACAGACAGAAACAATGACAGGATTACCACCCTTTTAGCCCCATCTCACCACACAACTGGACAATTTCCCCACTCCCCAGCAAATTCATGTGAGGAGGGGATTGTAAACAAATCCTACAAAGGGTGTGAATGCTGCCATTTCTTTCTGTGTATGTGCAATGTTGCAGAGAATGAAGAAAGTAGTTTTGAAAGGAGGGGGGGGAGGAAAAGGTCAACCTAGTTGATAGTGTTGATCCTCAGCTTGAAAGACACTCGTCCGGCAAACTTGTCTCTTTCACTTGCAATGGGAATGTTGTTGGCGTTGATCTTGCACTCGATGTTGACGTCCTCGTTGGTGGTGATGTTAAGGAACTTGACGGCGACCAAAGGCTGAGAGTAGTTCACCTGAGAAAACACATCCAGAGGACATCTTCAAATACAGGACATATTCTATCTGGTACGTATTTAATAAAGATAAAATAGATTCTTGTGATTATTCCCAGCCATGTTTACATTATATTTTGATTTAAAACACAGTCTTACCTGAGCTTTCTTGCCATAATAAGGGTAGTACATGAGGTTAAAAGTGCCGTTTGGAGG